GGCAGGGTTGGGCTGGGGCTGAGGTAGGAGGAAGGTCCTCGGCGCCCCTGGGGTTTCTGCTGACATCACTGCCAGCTCAGGGTGAGGCAGACCCTCTGGGCTCCTGCCCACTAGAGGGGAAAGGGAAAGTGGACAGCCCTGCTTCCTTTCCTCCCCTTCCTGCCCTCGGTGGCCCCCAGGCCTGCACTCCGGGCAGCGAGCACGGGGTGATGGAGAGGAGGCTGCCTCAGGGATGCCGATCCCAGGGAGCCTCCTCTGGCCCCGGCAGCCCAGGCAGGGCTTCTGAGCCTACCTAGCCCTGACTCTGCAGGGGGAAGAGTCGGGGCCCTTGAAAGCCCCGGGAAGCCCTCCCCCCGGCTGTGAACCGGGGGCTACCTAAGAGCCAGTGCAGTCCTCAGTCCATGATTCAAACCCACTTGGCTGCTCGTGGAGTCTAATTCTAGCTGAGGGCAATGGAGCGCTTTCAGGGTGCCCTCACCGACCCAGGAGGGCCCAGGTCGGGTGCCTGGCCCAGCAGCGCACTGTCCGTTCGTGTCAGCAGTGGGTGGTGGGTGGAGGGCATGAGAGCCCAGGTCTCCGGCTCTCTTTCTGTCCAAGGATCCTCTCTGTCCTGTAAAGCCAGGCTGGCCCCAGCTTAGCTACCTCATAGCCAGGGGGCACTGACAAGTCCTGTTGCCTCTGGAGCCTCTGGGCACCCAGCCTCTTCCCTTTTTCGGGGGGCATGTTAGCACCTGAGTGGTGTAGTCAAAAGGGCAGACAGTGCTGGGTTCCAGTACTTGTGTGACCTTAGGCAAGTGACTTCAGTGTCCTCACATATAAAATGGGTAAATCCCCGTTCCCATCTTACAGGGTTACTGTAAGAATGAAATGATATTGTCCCCCCAAAACCGGAGCCCAGGACCCAACACATGGTGAGAGCTCAGAATGTTTAAACTATGGTCAGTATTTAAGTCTCAGAGTCCTAAAAGGAGTAGAAGTGTCATCAAGAAATGCCAGGCATTGCAGCAGGCACGGGCAGGCCCCTGCCTCTCTGGCCTGCACACGGGTCAGCCTCCATCCCTCATCCCCATGGCCCCACAGGGCTCCTCTCTGTGTACCCAGGGAATGTTTGGTGAACACATGCATGAATGAGTGAGGGTGTCCTTACTTACCTCTGTGGGCTTCTCCCACACCACACTCCTGCTCACCCATCAGGAGGGGGCTGGACCAGAGGCCTCCCTCGTTCAGGAATCCATGACACCCTCTGGGCCAGGACCCCTTCAATGCCAATCCTGCAGCTGTGCGGGACATGGTGTTTTGGGGGTGTCTGGAAGGCCTTCCTTGGGGATCCCAGTTATGGCTGTAGCGAGGGAAGGGAAAGGGAAGGGACAGGGTCTAGCCTGTCCCTGAGCCAACAATGACTCACCCACCCCCTGTGAGGGCAGCTCAGGCATCACCCGGTGCCAGCCCTGCCCCCCTCCCAGCCACAACCCTTGGGGCCTGGCCTGCCACCCCCTGTGCACAATGAGGCCTGGACTCTGAAAGGCCAGGGAAGGCAGCAAAGCAGTGTCCTTCTCATGAGCTCACTGATCTCCCGCCATCCTGTGGGGGAGGAGGGCATAGGTGGTCATAACCCGTTCCACGGAGAGATGATGGGCTTATCCCAAGGCCACGCTGGCCAACTGGAAGCCCCTCATCCTGACTCCCAGCCTGGCCCTCTGCCAAATGCAGGGAACCACTTGGGCTAGCGTGGGGTGCCTCTTCCCGTGGTTGCCCCTGGCCCTCCTGCCATCCAGCCACATTTCCGCCCTGAGGCTGAGCCTCCTCCCAGGGCTCTCCTGCCCTCTCGGTCCTCTGATCTTTAATGAGTGCCCCCCTTGTCGCAAGATAATGAAATTCTTAAAGGCAGGGGTGGGTTTTCCTTGTCCCCTCAGTCGTGGGCAGCCCCTAGCACCCAGCAGGGGTTCAGGAAGGGCCTGTACCACGCACCGCACTGAGACAGATGGCTCTGGGGCCCAGGGGGCGGGAGTCTCCCGTAACCTCTGCCCTGTCCTCAGCAGCAATCCCAGAACGAGAGTTGCTTTCGGAGAGCCACAGGGGAGTGGGAACTTCCCTGAGATCCCCTAGCTGGGAATCAGAGGGCAGCCACCTGTGCCCCCGCCCCACAGAAACACTGGAGGGGTTATTCCTGTTCCGCCCCTCCTCTCTTCCTTCTCCCCCCTCCAACCGAGTTCCGACAGCCCACCCTATTTGGGATTTGGCAGCAGAAAGGCACGGTCTGTATTCCAGCCCCCACCCCAACCCAACTGGCAGCTCCTAGCCTGCTGCCTTTGCCCGGACATGGCAGAGGGGTACTGGCAGCTTGGAGATGGAGCTGATTTTCCCTTTGGCAGTGGGGAAGATGGGGGGGGGGGGCTTGGCCACCCCCTGGGTGGGGGGAGAGGGCAGGGATGCGAGTCTAGACAAGAGGCAGAGGGAGAAGGTGACTTCCCCGGCATGTGGGGTCACTGTATCAAGCTGGGGGACAGGGGGCTGTGTGGAAAACCAATTGTCCCTGCACTCGGCCTGGGTCCCCATTTCAGAGCCCTGGCCCTCAGTTCCTGCAAACCAATAGTTTCTGGACTCCTGGGGTGAACATTTGCTGTGTGTGTGGGGGGGGGGGGTGCAGCATGGTGAGCTTCTCTCCCCTTCCACTGCTGAGTCTGTGCCTCCTCTCCTCCTTCCCACTCCTACCCATTTATTTGCCTCCTTGCCTCTCGTCCTTCCTGCCCCTCCCTTCTCTCTTTTCCCTCCCCTTCTCTCAGCCCCCACCTTCCTCCTTCAGCTCCCCTCTCCCTCTTTTCCCTTTCTCTCCTGGCCCCCTCCTCCTCTCCCGTGTGGGGGCTGCTTTCTCCCTGACTCAGCAAGGTGCTTTATAAGGTGCTGAGGGGGCTCAGCCAAATCCAAACCACATTGTGCAGACACTCTCCATAAGGAGCAGGCTGCAAACCAGGGGAGAAGGACGGACTGCACCCCCGCACCCCACCCCGGCCCTTCATGGCTCCCTCCCTCTGAAACGGAGGCTCCTTGAGGACCTCTTGGCTGGCCTCATTGCCAGTCACCCACTGGGCATCTGCCTTCTTGACCTTGGCATGGGCATCAAAAGATCGTGGGGCTCACCGGCCAAGAATGTCATTGAAACTCCAGAGTTCTGGCTGGGGTGGAGGGGTGAGGGGGAAGAGTCCCCCCCCCAGCACTTTTCAGAAGGAGCCCCCCCCCAAGCAGATTTCGTCAGAGCTGCTACTGATGCCCTGGAAAGCCCCCTGCCCCCATCCCCAGGCCAGCTCCCCTTTCCCAGCTCTTTTTCTCCTTGTTTAGAAAGAAGAAAGAAAGAAAAAGAAAGAAAGAAAGAAAGAAAGAAAGAAAGAAAGAAAGAAAAAGAAAGAAAGAAAGAAAGAAGAAAAAGAAAAAAAAACCAACAACAAAGTCTGTCCCACTCCAGTGAGGTAATTGAAAACAAACTTCTCCCCCCCCCACCTCGGTCGGCACAGTGCAGAAAAGGGAAGAGCTGCCTGGGAACCCAGCACTGGTCCTGACCACGCCGCCTGGCTCTGACCTGCAGCCTGGAGGGGCTGTGGCAGGGCTGGCAGGGCACCCCCCTGTTTTCTCTGGGGGCACTGGGGCAGGAGGGTGGAGTGAAGAATCTGATGCTAGTCCAGAGAGAGGAATCACCTTCCAGGGCTGGCCCACCACCGCCTCTCCCACTTTGAAAAAAAACAAACAGCAGAAGCAACTTATTACCAAATGATTTAATTGGTGGTCTGGATCTAGAGCACTCAAGCCTTGGAGACCAAAGGACTGTCCCCCAAGAAGTCACCAAGAGGAGATGTCTGCAAGCCCCAGACGTGAACCGTTTCCTCTGCACTCCCCCTGGCAGCTCTCTGGACCGGGAGAAAGGGGGCGGGAAGGAGACCCTCTACGGAGGGTGTAGGCTTATGGGTCCCCCAGGTATCCTGCCTAGCAAGTCCCCACCCAGGCCTGAGGGAAGGAAGGAGGGAGAGCACTCCGCAGCCACCACCGACACCCCCCCCCCGTACCCCACCACTGGAAAACATCAACAACCCCAAACCCCAAAGGCAAGAGGAGACCGAAAGCCTTTAGGGGGAAGCATTTCACAAATGGGGACTCTTGGTCTGTCCATCGCCTTGAATGGGAGCATTCCCGCTGAGTCACCCGTGCAGCCGCTGGTGTTGAAACTGGTCCGGTGCCTCCTGCTGATTAATGAACTACAATTCCCCCACCCATGTGCAGTCTCCCGGCCACGGGGAAGAATGAAGAACCTTGTGAACCTGAGGGGAAAACCCTCAGCCAAGTGCCCTCTACTTTCCTTAGAGCTGGGCAGTGGGCCTGTGGTGCCCTCTGGCTCCCCCACCCCAGGGGGCATTGTGAGCCAGTTAGTCACCTGCCCCAGCCCCAGCGCCTCACTTAGCCCCAGCTCTTGGAAATGGGACAGGCGGCGGGACAATAGGCAAGGGGGGCGGTCAGCCCAGACAAAGGGCAGCAGGAAAAACACCATCACTTGCTACGGAGCCAGCTCGCTGGCATTTGGGAGAATGTGTCATTGCATTTACTCAGGGGGAGGGGGAGGGGAGGGAAGGTTAGAGATGAGGAGTCAGAGGTAGGGCGAGCGCAGGGACCCCGCACCCCAGGTCGACGCCGTCGGAGAAGAAAAGGAGCGGGCGGCTCCCTCCCCTAGCTCGGGGAGTCTGCAGACGGACTGATGCCCTCCCCGCCCCCTCCCCTAGGAGGCCCAGGGTGGTACCGCCGCAGCCTCGCCTCACCTCACCCCCCCTCGGTGTTGTGGGAGGGATAGGAGCCCCAGAAGCCCTCCCTTCCCTCCTCCCCCCTCCTCCCCCCAGCCCGGGGAGGGCCGCTACAATTTGTGGTTACAGCTTTACACGTCAGAAAAAAAAAAAAAAAAAAAAAAAAAATTTTGAAAAATGCCCCCCCCCAAAAAAAAAAAAAAAATCCGAAACCGAGCGAAAAAAACCTGCGAGTGGGCCTGGCGGATGGGATTATTAAAGCTTCGCCGGAGCCGCGGCTCGCCCTCCCACTCCGCCAGCCTCCGGGAGAGGAGCCGCGCCCGGCCGGCCCGGCCCCCAGCCCCATGGACCTCCGAGCAGGTAGGAGCCTGGCGTCCGAGGCCCCGGCCCCCGCCCCCGCCCGGGAGCCGCGAGATCCGGTTCCCGTGCCTCCTCCGGGAGCCCCGAGCCGGGGCCGGGCTGGGGAGCCGGGAGCTACCCCGGCCAGCAGGGCTCGGGCCGGGGGAGGCACGGCTGGGCGCCCTCGAGAGGGGCCGGGCGGGGACGCGGCATTCCTGAAGTCCGCCCGGCGGAGCCAGGAGGTGGCCGGGAGCGCGGCGGGGAGCCCGCGCGACCCGCTGAACCAGGGGAGCCGGCAACCTGGAGCCCCTGCGAGACGGGGTCCCGGGGATCCCAGCGGAAAGAGCCCCGCGCGAAAGTCGGGGAGAGCGAGTCCGAGGCGGGGAGCGGGACTGCGGGAGGGAGACACGGCGCGCGGGGAGGAGGGGGCCGGGGAGGAAGAGGGGAGAAGGGCGGGGAGCCCGAGGCCGGGCCGGCGGGAGGCGAGGGGAGGCCGACACCTCGGGCCCGCCGCGCTCCCTCCCCGGCCCGCCGGGAGGGGAGGGCGGGAAGGAGGGCGGGCGAGAGGAGAGGAGGGCGGAGGGCAGAGCCGAGCCTGGCTGGGCCGGGCCGGGCCGGGCCGGGCTGCGGGACTCGCGGCTTCCTCGCTGCGCGCTGCGCGGCTGGAGCCCACCATGCTGCCCGCGGCCGGGGAGCCGGCGGCAGGTAGGGGCCGGGCGGCGGGGCGGGCGGCGGCGGCGGCGGCGGCGGCAGCGAGTCCCCGGTCCGGCCCGCCGTGGCCTGGGAGTGATTAGTGCGGGGGACGGGCACAGCCCGGCCGGACCGGGCAGGAGAAAGTCCGTCACCGGCGGCAGCGGCCGCTCGGCCCCGGCGGCCCGCGGGAGGGCGGGCAGGGCAGGGAGTTGACGCGCGGGAAAGGGCAGCGGCCCGGCAGAGCCCGGCGCCCCGGACCCCGCCCCCGCCCCCGCCGCCGGGAAGGGAGCGACCGGGCGGGAGCGGGCCGGGGGCGGGGCCGGGGGCGCCGAGGCCACACAAGGGGAAGGCGCCGCCGCCGCGGGGAGGGGGCCGAGAGCGAGAGGTCACCGCCGAGGGGGAGGGCCAGCGAGCGGCCGCCTCCGCGAAGTTCTCGGGCCGAGCCCCTCGAGGGAAAGCCCAGGTCCCCCGGGCCTCCCCAGAGTCCCCTCATCTCTGCCTTCCCCAGCTTCCTTCCCAGTGACTCCACACTGCGCTCCAGAAGCCCCCACCCGCACAGACCCCCAGTCCCAGGGGACCCCGTCCCAGTTTCCCCCAGCGCCCGGCCTGGCCCTCCCGGCTGGGGTAGGAGGGAGCTGCCAGGAGGGGAGGGGAAGGTGGAAGTCCCCAGCCTTGGAAACAGAGGCTGAGCGCGAGGGCAGTGGACACACACCTCTGTCAGGAACTCTCTGACCCTGACCCTGAGGGGCTGACACCTCCCGGCTTTCACAACCCCCACAGAACCCCCGTTTCCGGCTCTGAGCACACACTGCCCCTCCCTCGGGACACCGGGACACATTCCTCGGAGAGACCAGACAGCAACCCCCGCCTCCCCCTGCAGTTTGGACCTGCCACCCTCACTGCCCTGGAGCCACACACTCAACCAGGGGAGAAAACGGGCACCAGGCAGATGGCAGCAAGTGTCACCTAGCAGCCCTCCCGTCCCCAGTCTCTCCTCCAGACTGGTGTAATGGCTCCCTCTCCCCTCCACAGAGCCCCGCACTCCTCCCCGTTCACACTTGTGCACACCACCTGGCCACACCAGCTACTCTATTAGTGACACTTCACATTCCTCCCCACAATCCAATCCCACCTGCCTATTCACACCGGGGCTCCTGCCCGCCCCCTCCCAGCGCCCTCCCAGCCCCTCCCACACCTCTGAATAACAACACCCTTTCAAGCTCACCCGCACCCTTGCCCAGACTATTTCCTTCTCTTGGTCCCCATGCCTGGCTCTTAGCTGGCTGCTTAGGTCCCCCAGCTTCATCCTGCACCCCTTGGGAACACCTGGGGCCCTCTTGCAGCACAGTCCAGAACCTCTCACTCCAACAGCTCAACTCCTGTATCCATACTGACTTCACAAGGCAGGGTGGCCGGCCCACCTGTCTGCTTCTTTCCCTGGGCCTCTCAGGCCTCAGTTTCTTCTTCTGTCATTTAGGCTGGAAGAGAAGGGCAGGAAGGGGGCTGCTGAAGGTGACAGCAGAGATGGAGCCGACACGGTTCCGCTGAGAGGGACTTCAGTGTGCATAGCGCGGCCCTCGCGCAAGCCCCACCACCTGATGGGTTGGTGGCAAAGCTAGGGCTCCTGACTTCTGGGCCTATGTGTACTCACTCACACTAAGCACTTCTCAGTGACCTGGGGCAGAGGGAACCAAGGAGAAGACGGAAGGGAGAAGAGACAGAGGGGAGGGCAGCCAGCCCAGAGGACAAGGAAAGATGGGCTGTTTCTGTGGGCCTGTCCCTGAGGAGGCAGGTCAGGAGGAGCCCCCGAGGGCCATTTCCTACAGTTCAGTGCCTGGATCTCCCACTGCAGTGGACACATCACCCCCTAAACCACTTCCTTTCCCCAACTCCCCGCAACAGATCCCTCCAAGGTCACTGGGGAAGCTGGTCCGGGGCTGGCCTGAGGGCGGAGCCTTTCCGGCTGGCTCCCACATTTTCCAGCACCTCTGGAGCCCTGTGATGCCTCCCTGGCTCCTACATTTTTGGCTGATAGCCCTCACGCACCCATCCCAGGTGCCGAGTCTCCTGGCTGATTTGTCCTGCCCACCCTGGCTGCCCTGGCCCATCTGCCCCACTGAGCCCCCCACCCTCACTGAATGAGGTCAGCCTGGAGGATACAGGCCAGGGATCAAGGGGCGGCTGCTAAAGACATGAGAACACGGCTATGCCTGCCTGTGCGGCCCTGTCAGGGTGGCCATGCGCTTGCATGGGCTGAGTGTGTGTGTGTGTGTGTGTGTGTTCACGAGGGGGGCCTAGGTTCCCAGGGCCCAGGGATCTGGATGGAATTAGGGGCCGACCGGGCGGGGGCCAGGATGGGGGGTGGGGGGCTCCAGCAGGAAACGTGAGCTGCACTCATTAGCTCCTCACGTGCTCAGCCGGATTTATAAACACAAGGGAAGAGGGGATGTAAACAATCAGTGGGCAGCAGCCAGAGGCAGAGCTGGGGTGGGGGCTGGGCTAGGGGCCAGGACTGGGGGAGGGGGCCCAGGACACAGCCCCCAGTGGCCCCGTCCACCTGCACACCGTGAGCCTGGCCAGAAGGATGGAAGAGGGCTCCAGGATGCCCACCTAGTTCTCCCTCCCAGGGATGCAGGCAAGCTGCAGGCTGCACCAAGTTCCACTGCTTACAACTCAACCACAGGTGTTCTTTGCCCCAGATGGCTATCAGTTTGCTTCCTAAGATATGGGGACATCTTGCCCAGAGTGGAAGCTGTTGTAATCGAGAGGAGAGCCCTGTCCCCCTTTCTCCTCTCCCAGCCTCTTCTCCCTCTAGATACCTGAGACTCCTTCCTTCTTTCTGGCTCTCTCTATGGGTCGGTCAGTACGATCCTTCTGCTCTTCCCCTGCCCCCACCCCCCAGCCTGCAGTGACACAGTTACCTCAGAACTGAAATATTCCTGGAAACACCAGCCTCGTCTGGTTAATTTCATGAGCCGTTTTTCTGCCCAGATGACTTAGCTCTTGTTTATCCAAAGACTTCTCCCCCTGTTGTCCCTGTGTGGGGAGCCAGTTCTCCCCAGGGGTGTCCCACAGGGCCCAGAAGGGGAGGGGAAAACAAGGCCCAGAGTTGGGGTCCTGACCCTGTGCCCCTCCCCCAGCCCCCTCCGTGCCACTGGCCCAGTCTCAGAACTCCGGCCAGAAGGGCTGCCCAAAGCAGGGTGGGGGAAAGAGGTGAGCCCAGCTCCCAGGGTTTCAGCTGGGACCCTCAGCATTGCTGCTAACTCCAGGCTGGAAGGGCCACTGCGCACCTCAGCATGTCTCCAACCTCCACAACTAACCCCATATTGTACCCTTCGGATCTTGGAAGTGACTCTGCCAGATATCTGGGCTGAGGGTAGCCCCAGGCTTCGTGCAGAGGAGAAGGGCCTGGAATTGGAATTCCCTTGGGATGTGAGAAACAGTGAATAGAAAGGAACGCAGAGTCAGCAGGAGCTAGGCATGGGAAGGCAGAATGAGGAAAGGAGCACCAGGAGGGAAGCCACGGGCTGCCGATGGGGACAAGGACAAGGGGGCCAGTCACCTGCCTGATCCCACTCTCTGTCTACATACGCACCCACCCACCCACCCATGCTCTCAAACGAAGAGCCCCTTATCCCCAGGGGCAGGGTCTCTGAGACTGGTGCTCTCCCCCACCCTGCCCACTCCCATGCTCCATCAATAAAGTTGCCAACCAAGCATCTGAAAGGGTCAAGACTGATGGGCTGGGCCACTGCAGAAGTCCCTACCTGACCCCTACACCCTTGTAAGAGGCATTCTCTACAGTTGGAGTCTTAAACCCTCTCTAAAACCCTGACCCAGCATTACGACTAACTCCAAACTTCCCCTAACTCTAAGTACAGTCAAATTGTCAAACGCATATCCAACTCGTTTCTATCACATATGTCATTATGAAACTTTGACAGTGGAAAAGAGAAAGTAGAAGAAACGACTCATGATCTCACACCTACCCAAGCTTAAGACCCAAACCAGCCCTCTCTTCATGACACGCCGTGTGCTACCCCAGCTGACATCTAAATCAACATATTCACAGACCTTGGCCCCAGTGAACCCTGTGCCTGCCCAAACCTAACCACATCTCCCAGCTGGACTCAAACCTCAACCACACTCAATCAGCCAAATCCTAATAAACTAACCTGAAATTTTAAAAGTAACCCAGTCCTTAAACCTAACCTAGCCCAATGCCAATTATAGCCTTACCCCAACCTAACCTTAATTGCCTTTACCCAGCCCCAATGCCCACTGAATCCTGGTCTCGTTCTCTTCACCGTGGACCTCACCTAAAAGCTGGGAAAATCATGTCTCCCAACTGCCTGCGTCTGTCCTCACGGAACTGAGCCCTGGGCTCTGGTATCTCAAGATGTCCAAACTCTCCAGCACCGTTGGCTGACAAACCAAACGCATCAGATACATCATATTCCCTCTCCTCCTCCCTTTCACTTCCCCCACCCTCCCTCTTCACTGCAGGCTGATCAAAGGACCTCATTCAAGGGGTGCCTGGTGGCTCAGTTGGTTAAGCATCTGACCCTTGATTTTGGCTCAGGTCTCGATCTCTCGGGGTCCTGGGATGGAGCCCCCAGTCACGCTCCACGCTCAGCGGGGGAGTCTGCTTCCCCTCTTCCTCTGCACCTCCCCTGCTCGCGCACGCTTGCGCACGCGCTCGCGCTCTCTCTCTCTCTCTCTCTCTCTCTCTGAAATAAATGAATACATCTTAAAAAACAAACAACAAACTCACTCAGGTCAAACTTTTCCCCATGCAACCTCCTAGATAAGAACGGGGCCGACCTCCACCCTGCGTCAGTCCACGCGCAGGAATCCTACGCTAGAACGTACCCACCACTGATTACAGGAGCCAGCCCTGTGTCCTTCAGCCTGACGCTGGTGATCTAACCCTCCCCCTTGCCTCCTATGGCTCAGCTTGGACTTGTCTCGGGGCAGCCTCTCTCGGGCCCTTCCCAGGGCTGACTGCTCTCAGCCGGCAGCGGGGACACGTGCTGTTTCCCACCCCTTGGCTCCAGTGGGACTGGGAGGCTGGGAGAGGAGGCTGAACCCAGGCATACTGATTCACAGACCCTAGGCCTGGCCCCGTCCCTCCACGTACGCACACATATGTGTCGGCATACGGATGGTGACTCTCAGCTGACACACTAATATACTCTCCAATATGTGCTCATAGATACACACACAGAGGCCAAGTCCCGGTCCTCAAACACATACATGTCTCCATACACACACACCCCGGCCAGGAACACTCCCTTCCTCCACCCGCCCTGCCTCCCATCCGGCAGCCCCCACTCACCACCCCCCCAGCCCAAGGTGGGGACAGGCACCTGAGGGGCTGCCAGCTGAGTCCTCCACTGGGCCTGGGCCCGCCCTCATGCCTCTTGCCCATCCTGTCCACAGGGGACTCGTGGGGGATGCTAGCTTGCCTGTGTACTGTCCTCTGGCACCTCCCTGCAGTGCCAGCCCTCAATCGCACAGGGGACCCAGGGCCTGGCCCCTCCATCCAGAAAACCTACGACCTCACCCGCTACCTGGAGCACCAACTCCGCAGCTTGGCTGGGACCTACGTGAGTACCCGGGGCGGCTGAAAGGTCTGGGAGTTGGGCAACGAATGAGAAGTTGGTGGAAGAGAGACAGAATGGTGGAGGGGTTCCAGTGAGCACTGGTGACCAGGGGGGCCCTTTGGTTCCAAACAGTCCCCATGTCTGGCCTATCTCTTGCCCTTCCCTCTGAGGTGCCCCCTCCTTCCCATCCCTGGCCCCAGGACTAGGCATGTGGGCAGGCCTCGCACCCGCCTTGGCCCATTGCCCCACTGGCTGCCGGCCCAGCCGCCCGCCTCCCCCTGGGGGCCGGGGAAGTCTCTTCTGTTTACACCGTGTTGTGGTGTCTCTTGCACGGGCGGGGCTGGGTGGGGATGGAGGGGCCCCACCTCCCATGCCTGTGTTCCAGCTCGCCTCTGCCCCAGACCTGGGGCCCTGCTGCTCTGGACCCATGGGCCTCCCCTCTGTCCGCCTCTCCCATCCTAGCTGGGCCTCCTAGGGGGGACTTGGGGGAAGGGGGCTGCAGGGAAGCCAGGCCAGTAGTGGCAGGAGGTTCAGGGGTGTGGATGGAAGTTGTGCCATAAGGATTTGGGGGCAGTCCAGAGGTGTTCTGAGAGCCCAGGAGAGAAGGAAAGAGGGTCAGAGTTGCCGAGGACTATGGGGAACCGGCCCCCTCTTCCCGTGTTCCTCTTCCACATCCCAGACCCTACTCTGGAGCCAGGGAAAGAAAGGGGAGGAGGGTGGCGGGGGAGCTGGCTCCAGCCCCAGGATACACCGAGGAAATTAGTTTGTCTCTGTGCTTGTCAGCGTGTGAACCTCCCCCTGGGCCCTTGCCTATCCCAGGCCTCGCCCCTCTCTGCTCCCTTTCTCTCTGGCTGCAACGTCCCCCTCAGCCCTTTCCCTGGGCCCCAGGCCTCTCCCTTGAGGGTTGGCAAAGCTCTGTCCTCCCTAGACTGCCTCCTCTACCCTTCCTCCAGCCCAACTCTGGAGACTGCCTCAGTTTCTTCCTTCTGCAGCCCTGCTCCTATGAGCCCTTCCTTGGGGGACTTAGTGCTTCGGGAGCACTGTCTGTCCCCTGCCCTTCCGCCCGTGGGACCAGGCATGGAGGCATCGGGAGGCAAAGGGAGCCCTGATTCCCACGGGCCCCTCTGCCTTTCCACCCGCTTTCCCCTTCCCTGGCCAAAAACCTTTGCTTGACTCTGCTACCCCCTCTAGCTCCCGACCCTTTTTCTCCCCTGGCTTTCCCTGCCAAACTTCTCGAAGGAGTGGTCTACACCCTCTGCCTCAGCTTCCTCTCCGCCCACTCACTCCTTAACCCCCTGCAATCTGGCCTCCAGGCCACTGAAGCGGTTCTCTCTCCGAGGTCATCAGGCACCTCCTTCTTGCCAAACCCGACAGAATTTTCTAAGGCTCACTCTCCTTGGTGTCTGTTTTGCAGCCACACTGTCCAGCACTGCTGCCTTCTGAACTCTTCTGCGCTCTGCACTCTTCTGGTCCACCTTCCACCTCTGCAGCCTGGCCTCCGGGGTCCTCCCGGCCCCTCTTCCTCTCTGCCCTGCCCCGCGGCGGGCCCACTCCCAAGGCTCGCACACACAGCCAATCAGCACGTCCTCCCTGAGTATCTCCTGCGAGTTTTTCTCTTTCCACACCTCTCCGTAGGGGAGTTCGTCACCCCCACTGCCTCAGCTGTCACCTCCATGCAGATGACATCCCCGGAGAAACTTGGGGGAGGCCCTGGAACAGAGAGGGGCCTAGTGTGGAGACGGGGCCAGTGTCAGGGGACACAGGACATAGCAGCTCTGGGGGCAGGTATCTCCTGGTGACCGCTGGCTACTCGGCCCTGCTCCTTCCACATCGCCCTCTCCTTTTCACAGCTGAACTACCTGGGCCCCCCTTTCAACGAGCCTGACTTCAACCCACCTCGGCTGGGGGCAGAGACCCTGCCCAGGGCCACCGTCAACCTGGATGTGTGGCGAAGCCTCAACGACAAACTGCGGCTGACCCAGAACTATGAGGCCTACAGCCACCTGCTGTGCTACTTGCGAGGCCTCAACCGCCAGGCGGCCACGGCCGAGCTGCGCCGCAGCCTGGCCCACTTCTGCACCAGCCTCCAGGGCCTGCTGGGCAGCATCGCGGGGGTCATGGCGGCTCTGGGCTACCCGCTGCCCCAGCCTCTGCCCGGCACTGAGCCCACCTGGGCCCCTGGCCCTGCCCACAGCGACTTCCTCCAGAAGATGGACGACTTCTGGCTGCTGAAGGAGCTGCAGACCTGGCTGTGGCGCTCAGCCAAGGACTTCAACCGGCTCAAGAAGAAGATGCAGCCTCCCGCGGCTGCAGTCACCCTGCACCTGGAGGCCCGTGGCTTCTGATCTCTGACCTGCGCCACCTCCCCACTCCCCTGCTCCTTCAAACCCTGCGCCCGCTCGGGGAGGGAGAAACCTGTACGCCAACACTCGTTGAGCCAGGAGACAGAAGCCATGAGCCTCTGGCCCTCTCCGGACTTGAAAGAGGGTGTGATGCAATAAGACCTGTCCCCTCCCTGCTTCCCAAAGTTGTGCAGGTCTGGGGAAGAGGTGCAATAGGCCCTGTCCCATCGCCACAGGAAGGAATGCTCACGGGAGCCCCAAGGGGCTCAAGTTGGTGCAAAGGCTCTCACAGCTTCCTGTGTCCTGCCCAGCACTGGCCAGTGCCCCACTGCCCCTCCAATGGCACTTCCAGGAAGCGTGCCTGTAGGGCAGGGAGGGGGGCCACCGCAGCACGTGCCTTTCTGGGGTGAAGCCCTTCAGCTGGCCCGCTCTTCTTCGATGGGTGTTGCTCCCCTGTCCCCAAATAACTCAGTACATCCGATTCAGGAAACATACACAGTGGCAAGTCCGAACAGGAAAAAATGGGATTTAAGAGTGGAACAGGAAGGCTCTGCATTGGAGGTGGTACTGAAAGCATAGGGCCAGGCACAGACCGGACCCAGGGGTCACCAAGGCAGTCGGTGGCACAGGATGGCAGCCAAAAGGACCTTGCCTTGCATCTTGTCGCCGGCATCACGGCGCCTCCTCCCCACCCCGTTTCCAGGCTGGCTGTGGATTGCCCAGGCTGGGGAGGGCAACCGTAGCCACAGCCACAGGGTTCCCTGAAAGTTTACATTGCAGTAGCATTGCGGGTGCGGGGGGCAGCTCCCCCCCAGGCCCTGCCCCCCAGCCTCACCCACTCATGACTCTTAAGTTTGTTGTATTAATATTTATTTATTTGGAGATGTTATTTATTAGATGATATTTATTGCAGAATTTCTATTCTTGTATTAACAAATAAAATGCTTGCCCCAGGACTTCATCTCTTTGCTTGGCCTTGCCCCTCCTCCTGGCCCTTCCCTGCCTGGGCGCTCGGAGCCTGCCAGTCCAAGAGGTAGCTCGGAGAGGCAGAGAACTTGGGGAAGTGGCTCTGCCCGGTCCACAGGGAGGGCGTGCACGCAGCACACTCTGCTCCCCCACCCACGGCGTGTTCCTTGAGTCCTTCCACCGTCTTGTCCGCTCCCCTCCCAGCCTTTGCTCAGCCCACCTCACCTCTCAGGATTATCTTAAGGGTCTTGTAGGTCTGTCTCCCTAAGCTGTGCACCTGTCCCTCCGGTCAGCCGTGCACAGTCAGCCCTCAGCTTCACCAGTCCTCCCACCGCCGTGGCAGCCCACCGGGGCCCCCAGCAGTGACCTTCACCTCAACACCCTTCCTCTCCTGGGGAGCGTGACCGACTGTGGCCAAGTCCCAAGTCTCAGCTGTGACTCTGCCCCTTTCTTTCCAGGGTAAGTCAGCAGGTTAGGAGGAAAGAGATTAACTCAGATTGGTCTGCAAGCAAATGGGGTAGACGCTATTCAAGGGATGACCTCAGCTCCAAGCCCAGCCTCGAAGCCTCCTAGAGTGACTTTGGACAAGTTACTTAAAGCTCTCTATTCTCCCGTTTCCCCGTCTGTAAAATGGGGATGATGAAACAGCCTTCTAAGACTGTTTGAAGGATGAGAGAAACAATAAAGGTGAGGTGCCTGGCCACAGCGGCAGGGATTAGTAATCAGGCGACTTGGGACAGATCAACCTGCCGGGACACTCTAGTGAAGAGCCGCGGAGTAAGTTGGGCTGACTGGTCCCAGCTAACACAGAGGTATTTTACCAGGAGACGGTGCCCTAAGCAAAGGAAGTAACAAATGATGGTCCTGTCAAGCAATCTACAAATACTTTAAAGACCTGCCCATCGTTATGTTAACTGCACTAGGAAATCCAAGAGAAGTCTGAGACCTAACTTGGCTCCTGCCCTGGTGGAGCCTGTGACCCATCTGGGGAGAGAAGACCGGCGGGTGCGGGAGTGTAGGTGCAAGAGCTACTGGACCTGCTTATGGTCGAACCGGGTTCTGCTGACTGTCCCACAGTCACCTGGCCCAGGTTGGAGGGGACATGCCCCACAGAGGGGTCCAGGCTCTTTGGGCAGGGACATCTGCCCTGGCTCTGTCTAGATATCCTCCAGGCCTGCTTCCTGTCTAACAAGATAGGAAGGAGAGGGCATCTGGGCTGTCTCCACGCTGGGGCAAAATGACTAGCAGCCTGTCAGGTGTAAGGCACCAAGCAAGGGGCTATACAGAATACCGGGAGAAGGAAGGCATATCCCACACTCCTGTACTGAGAGCTTCTTGGGGGGCAGACTTTGAGTTTTCCCCCATTGCTTTATCCCAGGGCAGGCGCAAGCCCAAAGAAGGTATTCAATTAGCGTGTTGAACCAAACCACCTAGAAAAAGGGATCCCTTGCCCAAATGCTAAATTCCAAGGCAGAATTTGATTAGCTGTGGAAGGACCCGGATGGAATCCCCGGGAGACAGGGAAGGCAGGATGGCATCCCTCCGCTGAGGGTGCTGGTCTGTAAGCCTCGCGGGGAAGGCAATGGTGTCTGCCACCACTGCTGTCCTTCCAGTGCCCAACACAGAGCAGGTGCCGCTGCATGGCCTCTCCAGGTAGGGTTTGGACAAGGGCAGGACAAGGGTCAGTTCAGTGTGTCTGTCTCCCTTTTAAGCAGATAGCATCTCGAGGGCAGGTTCCATAATTTACTTGTCTTTGCATCCCTACAGCATTTTAGCACAATGCCTGCACCGAACTAAAGTACTTGCTAATTTAACATAAGCTGATTTAAAGAGTGTCAAGCAATACTGCGTGAGAAGTTAAGAGAAGTGAGTTTTGGGGAGGCCGTCGATCAACAGTGTCAGAGGTCCCAGAAGCACTGGGGGACGAATTCGGGGGGAAACCCACTGAGAAATCAGGAAGTCACGGTGACCTTTGCAAGAGCAGTTGGGACGCCGAACTGTGAGATTAAAGGAGGTGGTGAGAAAGAAGAAGGGGTAAGTGTATTCTCCCCGGCGTTTGGTGGCAAAAGGAATACCTAGGCAGGTAACAGGAGCACTGATGTGTGGTTGGCTGGTTTGCTGTTGTTTCAAACAGAGAGATCTAAACACGAAATTGCTGTGGGAGGGGTGGCAGCTGGAGAAGAATGTAGAGAGCCTTAGGGAATGGAATCAGGGACAAGCAGAGGAAGGGAATCAAAATCGTTGCCTCGTGGAGCCAGGTGACATCAGCACACGCATCCCTGTCATGGGCTGTGACATTCCCCAGCAAGCCACAGATGGCCAGAGGCGAGGACAGACAGAAGACAGGGTGCTTCCCAAGGCCCAAGGACTGACAAAGCAGGAATGGCAGAGAATTGAGGGTTGGTTGAGACTCCAGAGGGTTAGGAATGGTGCTTTTGAGTGCACACAGGGCTGGTAGCAGAGGGAATGAAGGGAGGAGAGTGATCTGGAAGGGTGGGCAAGTGCTGGAGGTGGCTCCCGTGGAAGATGCAGAGGGGGCACCCCCAGCAGCAAGCGGGGGGGAGGTGGACACAGAGGAGAACCGAGCCAGAAAGGGCATTTCAGAGTCTGAGTTCTTGAACTCTCCCCCAAATAGCTCCCTACTGATGGTGTCAGGGTGTGAGTCCCCCCTTTGGGTTTTGGAGCTGTGGACCAAGAGGCAGGTAGCTCTTGGTAAAGACAAGTCATCAGGCTTTTCTATGAATTTGTTTGTCCTTGGTTCTCCACCCATGGCAGCTCCAGGAGAGGTGACGAGTTAGCCGTGGTTATCCCAGGCCCCACCTCTTAAGTACGGCCTGAGAGTCAGGGGCCCAGGGATGCAGAGGTCAGCTTAAGAACCTGGAATGCGGGCGCCTGGGTGGCTCAGTTGGTTAAGCGACTGCCTTCAGCTCAGGTCATGATCCTGGAGTCCCGGGATCGAGTCCCACATCGAGCTCCCTGCTCAGCAGGGAGTCTGCTCCTCCCTCTGACCCTCCCCCCTCTCATGTGCTCTCTCTCTCTCATTCTCCCTCTCTCAAATAAATAAATAAAATCTTTAAAAAAAAAAAAAAAAAAAAAACCTGGAATGCCTGGGGCCCAGCAGTGCCATGGAGGAGAGGACATCTCTAGAAGTCCTTCTGTTCCAGGGAGGCTGGGGAGAGGGGGGTGGGGGGCGGGGGGCAGGGGGAGTGAGAGTAGGCTCTCTTCCCCCGTCATCCCCATCCAGATGGCACGGAGTGGATTAGAAATCTCAGCATCGTCTTGGGTATCCAGAAACGCACCTGCGTGTGAAAGGATGGGCAGAGGATGGAGAGCTGTCACTTGGGAGAGGCAACGTCACTGGCAGGGGGAGGAGCGGGTACAGGAGAGGTGGAGGGTGGCTAAAGGGTAGTGACACCTTGCCAGCTTCCCGCTTTTGCACAGACTGGCCCAACACCCGAGGACTTGGGGTCCTCTCAGTGTGTGCAGAGACTCATTCAAGCACTCATCTTACAGACACATGCACACATTCACCCACTTGCCACGGCCACCCCAACTGGGGAAGGGCCAAAAGGGAGGCCCTTGTTCCCCTTAACCTGCAGGGTGAGGGCCAGTGATCTAGGCCATTGGCTGAGTGCTCTGATGGATGGCTGCCTCTCAGCTCCCCCTTCTTCTCTGGAGCCACAACTGTCCCTGCCTTTGTCCCTGTAATTCTTGAGCTCCCTGACTCAGCCTGGCTCCCCGATTCCCAGCAGTAGACAAAGCCCTTGTCAGTGAGGTGGGGGTGGGGACAACGAGGGAGTAGCTGTGAACTGTAGGACCAGAGTTCCAGCCCTTTCTTTCTCCCAACCTTCAGGGTCTTTCGGCCTCCCGAGTTCAGAGGTCACCTCCAGGCCCCTCCCCAACTCGCCCCCATCTCTAAGGCCTGGCCCATGGGGTGGAAACTAACTAGGACCTTCCTCCCAGCTAGACAAAGTCTGACACCTGGTGGCCAAGGTGAGAAATGGCCAGAAGGCTCCCTTTTCAAATCTCCCCAGAATTTCTCCAGGGCCGGGCTGGCCAAGGTGAAAGGGGAGGTGATGGGAGCTTTGGAGGGGGTGGTTGGGACAAAGCAGAAGAGAGAGCCAGTGGCAGAAAAACCCAGACGCAGGAGAACTTTTGCCTTCTGCCAGTCTCCTGCCCCTCAAGCCCACTAGGCTGGAGACCCTGGAGCAGGGAGAGGTGGGGTGTCTGGGAGGATCGTGATGGACTAGGAGGGGCTGCCTGAAAGAATTTTGGCCCACAGGGTGGAGAATGGGGCCCAGGGCGTGTGAATATGTGGGGCCTGGGGATATGAGTCTGGCTGCCCAGAATCTCCAGCTCAGGGTGGGTGGCAGGGCCTGAGGGCCTGAGGAAGGGGGGTGCTGGGGAGAAGGAAGGAGAGCAGGAAGGAGAGCAGGCTACGCCTCACAGCTTGCTGGGCCCCAGGCAGCTGCTTCCTTCGCTCTACCTGCCCCCACCTTCCTAGCTCTAGCTGGCTCTCTCCAGAAGCCCCATTGTGAGCAGGGGGAGGGGGAAGGGGCTCCCAGGGCGCCTGCGCAGTGCTGAGGCCCCCCACCCTGCCACATTGTCTGAGCTAAGCCAGGCCTAATCCCCCTTCCCTTTGGAGGAGTAGGCAGTGGGCCTCAGCCCTCAGGAAGGTGCTGGGCTCCTGTTCCAGTTCTTTGCTCTCTTTTCTCTTGGGTTCTCCCAAGACTTTGGCCTTGGCCTAGAGCAAGGCCCTTGAGTGTTCCCAAGCTGAGGTCACTCCTGCCAAGTGCAAAGGTCACTCCTGCTAGTCCCATCACCAGCCTCTGGGGGTCAGATCTGACATAGAAACAGGCTCCTGGGTCTCAGGAAATTCCCTGAAGGAGGGAGAACTTAGCTCCCAACTCAGACCTCTGACCTGGCCCTCCAGCCTGACGCCTGACTTGTGATAAGCCCCACCACAGCAGTTTTGGGGATAGGACAGGAGGCTGCCTGAGTCGGGACTGGGGTTCCAGGAAGAAAGGTGATAGGGGGCAGACAGGGTTAGAGGAGTGAAGAAGGAAAAGACCTGAGGATGGGCAGGCCAAGGTTCTAGTGGCCAGCACACCTCAGGGATCCAGACACCAAGTTGGGGAAGGATGCCAATTAGACAGGGATGGTTCCAAAACTCCTGGGTGCCAACTCCTTTGTGTCAGGGAACTCAGCCCCACTACTGTCGGACTAGGACAGGAGGGCAATGCTGCCTGTGGAGAGTTCTCTTGACTCCAGGCCAGAAAACTGGTCCTAGGCCACTTGCACTTGAGCTGACCGCCCTGATTCTTTCTTGGGGCTGGGAGGAAGCTGAAGGCCAAGGGAGACATCTTCCAGGCTAGGTGGGAGAGGCTAGCAGGGTCTGGGCCAGGCAGAGCTGGGGGCAGCCGGCAGGGATGGCCCAGACAGTGCCCACAGAGCAGGTCCGGGTGCCAGAGGAGAGAGGCAATGAGCTCGGGCGGCGGTAGGAGCCACTGTGGCCGCCCAGCGGCACACCCCATTTCACGCTCCCTGGGCGGTGGCAGGGCCCCACGGCTATCAGCTTTCAGGGGTGGGAAGGACCAGGAATGAGGAGGGGTCCGCCCCACCCATGGCTTCCTACTCCCTCAGGGCTCTGTGGGCTCAGGAGTGAGGTGCCACACACCTCTGGGAACGCCCTCTGGGGAGAGAGTGGTCAGTCCCACAGAGCCTGGGCACCATCCCTCTGTAGAGCGCACAGGGCCTGACGGGAGCCCACACCTCAGCCCTTCCCAGGCACGGTGGAGAGGGCCTCCCTGTTTTCCTCCCCGATGCAGCAGGGCCCCCCGTCTCCCTCAGTATGGGCCCCACTTAGTCCACGAGGCAGATGGGGGATTAGGCCAGGCCCAGCCCAGAAAATAAAGCAGGGAAGGGCCCTCCAGCTCTGTGCAGTGCATTCATGAGCTCTGACTCCCACTCAGCCCTCCTCAAGGAAGTGCATGGGGAGAGCCAGGCAGGAGGAGGTCCCTGAAGACATGGCTGCTCCCGTTCCTCCCCTTTGGTGGTCTCCTGTCCAGAGCATTTCCTCTCTTATGCCCACCTTACTCCTAACACAGAGCACTGAGGTCCTGGAGCAGTGGGAAAGGGGAGGCAGAAGCATCTGGGCAGGCCCTTGCTCTCCTGGAAGAGCTGGAGGGGATCTCTAAAGGGCACTTAGAGCTGGGCTGGCCCCTGTGCTGATTCCCAGACTCCCACTGACCAGCACTTTTGCCTGCTGCCAGGAAGTTGGTGAGGGGGAGGCGGGTGAAGGGGTGACTCAGCGATGACAGGAGCCCAAGGGACAAAGGTCATGGGTGGAGAATTGAGGGACGCTGTTTACAGCAGCCCGCCTCCTCCAGGAGGTCTTCCAGTGCTGAGCCAACCCTGTGGTCCAACCTCTCTCTGACCCACCCTTCTCCCCTTTCCTGTTTGTTAGGAATTTTATCCGTGCACTGACGACTCGTGTATCCTATCTGCCTACCCCATTAGCCTCTGAGCTCCTGGGTGGGGAGGGCACAGAGGGACTGTGGTTTAACTGGGGCCCCACAATGCCTGTGACGATCAGCACTTCCTACTTTGAAAAACTATTTTATGCGGCGCCTGACTGGCTCAGTCCATGGGGCGTGCGACTCTTGATCTCGGGGTCGTGAGCTCAAGCCCCACGTTGGGGGTAGAGATTACTTAAAAAAAAGAAGAAGAAGAAGCATTTTACATCTAGTTTAGTTGAGTGAATTTGTAGGAAAGTGCTGAGAACAAGACTTGGCACACCGGTAAGTGCCATGTAAGAGTTTAGTTTATTATTGGTATTTTCTACTCATACTGTCACATTAGTGAGACAGTATTAGCAGTACTTAGCAGATTTTACTGCTAAAGACCTGGGGATACAAACACTGGGGTCTCCTGCTCACTGTGGAATCTCCCTGACTAGGCATGGGCAGGCCACGGGAACCCCGGAGAGTCGACAAGGCCAACGCTTGCCTGGACGAAGAGCGGGCAGGGTCTTTGGGCACAGACTGTGAGAAAGGAGCTTTGGAACCCATGGGCTTCTCCAGCCAGGTCTCCTGGGGCCGGTGGGGGTGGGGTGGGAGCAGGGAAGGGGGCTGGATTAGCCCAAACGCTCTTCGGACCTCCAGACCTGCCCCCACAAGGCTCTGCGGGACAAGGGGTGGGAGTGGAGGCTCCAGCTGGACTCTGGGGAGTTACTAACCGGCCACGGGGATTACTGAGGCTGAAAAGAACATTTGCCTAGGAAGGGAAAACGGGAAGTGAGAGCCTGAGGATAACGCTCTATAAGTCCCCTGAGACCCACTGCAGACCAATGGGGAGGAGGGGGGCAGGAGGAGGTGGTGCAGTCTGGGGCATCTTGACAGGTCCCCCACCCCAGCCTCACCCCTTCTCCCCCAGAACACAGCTGCAGCAGCTGCCCCGCCCCCCCTGCCGTCGCCACCTGCCATTGGCTGGAGCCGGGCCCCGCCCTGCAGAGGCGGCCAGCCATTGGTCTAGGCCTTTGATGTTTGTGCGCTTGTGGGGGTGGGGGACAGGCGTCATTCCCTGGAACCAGTGGACTTCCTCTCTGCTTGTCTGGGTCACCCTGTCTGCCCGTCGCTGGCCCCAGGCTCGCTCTCTGGCCCCGGCCCTCTTCTCTCTCTCTCCCTCAGCAGCTGTCTCTCTCGTGCCCGCTGGCCTGTCTCTTTCCCCGCAGTCGCCTCCTTCTCTGCCTGCCTGGGTGGCCGCCATGGGCCGGAAGCGGCTCATCACTGACTCCTACCCTGCAGTGAAGAGGAGGGAGGGCCCCGCTGGGCACAGCAAGGGGGAGCTGGCACCAGAGCTAGGTCTCTTACGTGGGGGGGGGGGGCGGGGGTAGTGGACACCGCTGAGGGGCATGAGAGGACGTGGGCGGACGTGGGCAATGGAAGGGGAAGTGAAGTATGTCCTCTACTTCCTACTCCAGGCCTGGCAGTGGCCGGCAGAGGCAAAGGGGTGGCAAGGGCCGGGGAGCAGTGGGGCAGCTGTGAGGCGAGGGGCAGGGGACTGGCCTTGCAGGGCACAGGCCTGGGCAGGCCTGAGGAGCAGCATGTCATTGCAGGGGAAGAGCCCCAGCCCCTGAGCGTGGATGAAGCAGAGCTGGAGCTGCTGAGGCAGTTTGATCTCGCCTGGCAGTATGGGCCCTGCACAGGTGAGAACCCTCTCAGGCCCCTGAAGCAACCCAAGGCCCTGCCTGACCCTCTTGGGCACTGTCTCCTGAGACTAGGGGGTGTGGAGGTCCTGACACACCCCTCCACACGCATTCTCTAGCCCGCACCCTCCATGAGGTGCCCGCGTCTCCTTCCCACCCTGGCAGGGATCACACGGCTGCAGCGCTGGTATCGGGCGGAACAGATGGGCTTGGAGCCTCCCCCAGAAGTGCGTCAGGTGCTACAGACACACCCTGGAGATCCCCGCTTCCAGTGCAGGTCAGAGACAGGCCAGGGAGGGCTCTCAGGGGAGCCAGGCACCACCAGCCTTCTGGCCCCCCGGGGTGGGGGCTGCCCTGACCTGAGGAAGACATGGATGCAGGTTTGGGGCCTTGCTGAACAGGCAAGAAGGTTCTCTAAGGTGCCTGGCTCAGGAAGGCAGAAGATGGCTTTAATAATTCTTACTGCTGAGCTAATGGTGGGGGAAGGGTGCACCCAGGGCCCAGGGGACTATCTATTTAGTTCAGAGGGGCTGGCCAAGGACTATAGGCCATGGCCAAGAATTGGGGCTGGTGAAATCAGATCAAGGACTTAAGTGATTCTGGTTTCTCCCTCCCTGCCCCCTCCCCTTGCACAGCCTCTGGCATCTCTATCCCCTTTGAGGCACCACCTAAGACCTGCCCGCTACCCCAGAACCTCAAGACCCAAGTGAGAGCCGGTTGCTGCCCCCTTGGCTCAGTTCTGCTGTGAAGAACTTTTGGCAGGAAAAGAGCCTCATAGAGAGAGAAAAGAGGCTGAATCTGGAGGTCTCCGAGGCTCAGCCCTCCATCTAACCAGCAGGCTTCTGGAGCCCCTCTGAGAGCCAACACAGCTGAAGCCTGCACTTCCTACGTGGAGAATGGTCTCTGAGGACAAGGACCTGCCCATGACCTTTCAGATGCCTGCTACACGCCTCCCTGACCACAAATACTGTGGTCCTGGGAATAGTGTGGCAAATAGGCACAGCCTTGACATAGTCAGACTCAGGCAGATATCTACGAGGCAAAGATGCACTCCCCACTTAAGGCTGGGAATCTGAAGGCAAAACTGGCAAGAGGTTCACTAATGCTTATCAATAAAGAACACTGAGTCTGGAAGCCTGACCTCCAGTCCCTTAATATGGCCCTGCGTGGGCTGGCAGCAACCAGCAAGTTGATAGGTGGGAGAGAACCAGCACTATGCCTTCCCTCTGCTGCCCAACCCTAGACCTGGGACTAGACACTTTAACAGACCGTGGGACAAGTCCTCATTAGAGCTGATCAGTCTCTGGCGCCCCCTGGTGGTGTACAGGGAAACTACTCCTTAGCCACCTTCAGAGATGAGCCAGAGAAAACTTACCTGGCCTGCCACCTAGCCTGCCCAGTGTGGCCCACCTCACAAAAATGGGTCTGTTGGAGGAGGATCCCTAGGGCCCACGGCCCATAAAGTCCAGACCTACACATTCCTGGCAAGCACCTCTGCTTCCCACATGGAGGCCACCTGGATCCAAAGCAGGGTTGAGGAGGCTTTCAACCTGCAGGTCCTGCTCAGGGATGGCCATCGTCTGATGGGCTTTGGTGGGGAACTGCGTGGAGCAGAAACAATGCTTAGGGGACCCTGGGGTGGTATGACATGGAGAATGGGGTCAGTGTTCCTCGCACTCTGTTTACCTTCACTGGCTGTACCAGCCCTCCATCCTGGGCAGACAGAGACAGCATTACCAACTCCTTGGGGACAGGCCTACAGAGCAGCCAAGTAGCCTCTTCAGCCCCACTGTCCTGGGCACTGCCCGTGCCTCAGGCACTTTAAATGAATCATCTCTAAAATTGCTAAAGGGCTGTCAAGATAGATTTTATAGCGAGGGGGCCTGAAGCCCGGAAGAGCTGTGTGGGGCTGCTCAGCAGCACCAGCAGGTATGTGGTGATAAGAGGCCATGTGCGCTAGGCTCTTCCTGTCTACACCCAGGCACCTGCTCATCTGCTGAGCACCTGCTGTACGCCGGGCTCTAGAGTGTTGTTAGCTGGGTGTTGTTAGTGGTGAGGAGATCAAAGAAGACATACAGGTAAACATAATGCCACGCGGTGGTCTGTGGTAGGCAAAGTTAGGGTTAGAGGTCAAAGAATGCCAGGGGTGCTTAGGTTGACCAGGGAAGCTCTCTGACAGGGTGGCACTTCAGCGGAGACCTGAACGAAGTACAGGCACGGGCCTTGCACCTACGGGGGTGCTCTGGACAGAAGGAACAGCAAGCACACCTCCCAAGACAGAAGTGTGTGCACCCTGGCCCAGGAACAGCATGGAGGGCAGCACAGCCAGGGCAGAGGGCGCGAGAGGAGTATGGTGGGAAATGAGGCCAGAGAGGGAGCAGGTCGCTCCCATGGGGCCTTTCAGGCTGAGATAAGGAATGTGGATTTTAATCTGAGCGAGACAGGAAGACACTGGTGGGTTTTAAGCCAATAAATGACATAATCAAGCTTATGTGTTGAAAACATCACTCTGGCTATTGGTGGAGAACAGATTGTGGAGTTGGGGGAAGAAGAGGCAGCAACACTGTGCTCAGGAGGCTTTCTGGGGTCAGCCTTGAGAGAGGTGATGGTGATTTGGACCAGGGTGGGGAGATCAGCTGGCTGTGGGTCGGAGAGAGAGAGGAGCCAAGAAGAACACCAAAGGCTTTGGCCCGAATAGCTGGAAAGCCAGAGTTCCCACGACTAAGACGGGAAAGACTTGAGAGGGGTGGGGAGGGCCGGGGAATCAGGAGTTTGTGCTTGACACCCAAGCAGGGCTGGGGAGTAGGTGGTGGATACGCAAGTCTGGAGTTCTGGGGAACTCTGAATTTGAGCTGTAAAATGTGGGCGTTTTTTAGATGGCATTTAAAGCCCTGAATGTGGATGAGGTTACCTGTGCGAGTACAGATGGAGACAGAAGTGGTCCAAGGACGGACCTGCACCTTCTATGCTTAGAGGCAAGGGAGGAGGAGACTGGGGGTGGCAGGCTGGAGGAAAATCTGGAGGCATGGGCCTGGGAGTACCAGACAGAAGGCATTTCAGGGTCTCAGATGCTTTGGAGAGGCTCGTAAAGCGAAGCCCGAGGGCAGCATGCTGGACTTGGCAATGCAGAGGTCACTGGGGACGAGAAGTTTCCACGAGTGCCAGGGTAAGAATGTGCCTGGAGTAGGCTCAGAGCGAATGGCAGTGGAAGCGGAGAGCAGGAGCATGCCAACTCTTTCAGGGACTTTTACTGTAAAGGGAGCAGAGGAATGGAGTGGTGACCAGAGGGACACGGGATCAAAGGAGGGTTTGCGTTTTTTTGTTTGTTTTTTGTTTTTTAGGATTTATTTATTTATTTGAGAGACAGAGCATGAGCGCCAGTGGGGGAGGGGCAAAGGGTGAGAGTCTTCAAGTAGACTCCTCGCTGAGCTCAGAACCCTGATGCGGGGCTTGATCTCAAGACTCATGAGATCATGAAGATCAAGATCGGAAGTGAAATCAAGAGTTGGTCCCTTATGGGGCGCCTGGGTGGCTCAGTTGGTTGAGCGACTGCCTTCGGCTCAGGTCATGATCCTGGAGTCCCTGGATCGAGTCCTGCATCGGGCTCCCTGCTCGGGCAGGGGTCTGCTTCTCCCTCTGACCCTCCCCCCATCTCACGTGCTTTCTCTCTCTCTCATTCTCTCTCTCTCAAATAAATAAATAAAATCTTTAAGAAAAAATTTTCTGAAAAGAAAAAAAAAAAGAGTTGGTCCCTTAACTGAGCCACCAAGGCGCCCCTCAAGGGAGGGGTTCTGATGTGTCGTTTTGTCTTTTGTTTTAAATGTACTTTTTAAAAAAGATTTTATTTATTTACTTGAGAGAGAGAGAGCACAAGTGGGGTGAGCGGCAGAGCAAGAAGCAGACTCCCCACTGAGCAGGGAGCTGGACTCGGGGCTTGATCCCAGGACTCCAAGATCATGACCTGAGCCAAAGGCAGACGCTTCACCGACTGAGCCACCCAGGCGCCCTTTGTCTTTTGTTTTAGACAGAGTGACACTAGGGCATGATCATATAGTATGAAAGTGAGCCAAGAGGGGACAGAGGTGGCGGTCTTATGAGTGAGGCCTTTGTGAAAGTGACAAGGGCCAGGACCCAGGGAGAGGGTGGCCTCAGGCAGGAGCATCCAGCTCGACAGGAAGGGAGGCCAAGGATGTGGGAGTAGATGCAGGTGGGAAGGTATGGTACCGGTGGGAACATTCGAGAATCTGATGTTTGCTGAGAGCCTCATGCAGCTGGGAGGAGTCTGACGTTTACTAAGTGCCCTCCGTGCCATCTGCTGGGCTGAATGCTGCACATTCCTTATGTGGTTGACTAGAGTGACTCAGAACACTGTCATTAGGTAAGTATTAGCCACGGCTCACAGATAAGGCAACTGAGGCTGAGACTTGCTCAATCAGGAAACACCAGGGCCGGACTCACACGCAGGGCTGCCTTCCTCACTGCATCACCCCGCACCTGTACCCCACCGTACCTGCGCTCCAGCTCAGGGTGCTGCTGAACAGATTAAGATCTACCCGTGTGGAAAGTTAAAAAAAAAAAAAAAGCAATGTGATACAGAGGCCACGTCGTCAGGGCAACTAGGAGTGGTATCGACACTGAGTCCTCAGGAAGAAGAGAGCATGTGTGTTAAAGAGACCCTCACTGTGGGGACCCTGAGCCCAGGACAGCCCCCTCCTACTGCAGTGGTTCCCTCTGTCTGACTTCAGTGCCTCACCCCTTCTACTCACCACACCCCTGCTCCTCAGACCCTTCTTGCTGCAGAATGAATGCAGACCCCCCCAGTGCAGCAGGAGGTGGGCCCAAGACACCTCCACTCTGAATATTCTTACTACTTGTATCTTTTATCTGCAAAATCTCCAGCCAGTTTTGTATTCTATTCCATGATATGCTCAAGTAGTTGCCATTACATTAAAAATGGATAAACTTAGGGGCGCCTGGGTGGCTCAGATGGTTAAGCGTCTGCCTTCGGCTCGGGTCATGATCCCAGGGTCCTGGGCTCGAGTCCCGCATCGGGCTCCCTGCTCAGCAGGGAGTCTGCTTCTCCCTCTCCCTCTGCCTCTCCCCCTGCTTGTTCTCTCTCTCACAAATGAATAAATAAAATCTTAAAAAAAAAAATATTCAGGACATGGGCGCCTGGGTGGCTCAGTCAGTTAAGCGTCTGACTTTGGTTCAGGTCATGATCTCCAGGCCCCGGGATTGAGCCCCGTGTTGGCGGGAGTCTGCTTGTCCCTCTTGCTCTGTCTCTCTCGCAAACGAATAAATAAAATCTTAAAAAAAAATATTCAGGACATGGGTGCGGAGACCCTGGATTAGAAGACAGAATGCAAAGGACAGAGAGTTCCAAGAGATGTTGCAAAGGCAGGTGGCAAGGCTTGTGTTTGGGAAGGGGCGAGTGGGGAGGGAGGCGTCAAAGATGACTCAGGAGTAAGCTTGGGTGGGTGAGAGAAGGCTGATGCCATGGGCAGAAAAATGGAAACTGGGAGGGAAGGCAAGCTCGATCTCACGCATGTGCAGTTTAAGACGATGACAGGACCCCCAAAAGGCAACATCCAGGAAGCAGTGGCAGCCTGGAGGGCAAGTCCAGCAGCGAGGCCAGGGAGAGGTGGCATCCAGGGCACAGGGGCATTGCCTGCGTAGAACCGACGATCAAACCCCTGGGCATGGGTGGTTTCTCAGGGGGTGAAGAGGGACAGGGAGAAGGCGTGAAGACAGGACCAAAGATGGCACTCGGGAAATCCTCTCTAGAAGGTGGAAGACCAGCCAAGGAGAAGGGAGAGGGGCCGAGTGGCAGGAGAGCCAAGGCCGAGCTGGCATCCAGGCGGTTCCGAGAACTTCGAGCGTGGCTGGTGGCACGCAGCCAGAAGATCTCACGAGGGCGAGGTGGAAAGGAGGAAGATGGCCCGCCCCGAGTGTCCCCACCTTTCCTGCATCCCGCTGTCTGCGTGTTGCAGTTCTCCCTGGCACTCCCCCCGCCCCACACACAGTGACTACCAGGGCCACACCCTCCAGTGAAGGTCACGCGATGCCTTATCTGTTGACTTAGGTGTGGCAGCATTTACCCACCCTCAAACTCAGACAAATGCGCTAGTAACACA